AGAACAAAACCTTGCTTGGTCCTAGACCAGCCTCACATTTGCTCGAGCCCATTGCTGCAGCCACTGTGTCAATCCATCTGGTCAAGGACCTTCATCTTTGTCACTGCCCCTCTGCTTTACGAAACATGATGTCTCTCTCCAGGGACTGATCTCTCCTTAAGACAGGTCCAAAATATGTAATGTGTTCCTAACCATCCTTGCCGCTAAGGAACTTTCTGGCTGTACTTCCAAGAAAGATCGGTTTGTTGTTTTGGCAGTCCATGGTACTTTGATTATTCTTCTCCAGCACCATATTTCAAATGCAAAGGAAATTGTCACAAAAGCCTGCTTGGTGCTAGAACAATACATTCCAATTATAGGTGGGCCACTAACGGAGGAGCAGGACCATGATTATGATTCGTACATTGTTAGAAGAATTTATGAGATTGGCCTAGGGCCATCTAACTAAGTCAGTCAGGAAACAAGTGATAGGGCATGAACATGACCGTGACCCTCTGTACTATCCCCCAGGAACCCTGGTGGCATAGTGGTTTTGTGTTGGGCCTCAGTCTGCAACATCTGCTGTTCAAAACCACCAGCTGCGCTTCGGGAGAAAGACGGTTTTACAGTCTCAGAGACTCACAGTATCCACTCGATGGTAGTGAGTTTGGTTTTGGTTTGGTACTGTGCCCTATACTGTGATCTCAGGCAAGGAATCACTTGCCTGAGGAATTACTCAGGCAAGCCTCCTAGAGGAGTCTGGAGTCTGAGGTCAAGATTGCCTACATCCTTGCTTAAAGATCAGAAAGAATTCAGCGGAGGCTTAATCTATGTGGGGAACTCTGCACAGGGATTTTGGGCTGTTTCACTGTAATCCATAGCCTATAGTAACCCAGAGTGCTCAGAATTTAAGGTCTAATACAGTAAGAAACATTTAAAAGATTTTTAAGTTAGAAAATGTCACCATCAAAAATAAGTTTTCTGAATGTTTTGTGCCATACATTTGATTACGTATTTGAATATTACAGACCTATATCTTCCCTTAACTCCTTATAATTCAGTATATTTGTTAATAAAAACAATTATAGTTTGTATTCCAACTATTTGTTTTGACACCAAAATCAATTGTTTTACAACTTTATTGTTAAAAATCAAGAGTAGAATTGTTAGGTTTCTGAATTTACCTAGGTTCTTCTCAACGTTGAAAGAATTCACGAGGCAGAAACACTTTTGTAAATCCAAGTAACTTTTATGAGGGAAAGGGGGATTTTCTGGTATTACAATCTCAGACAGTACAAGCTCTCTCTGGGAAATGTGCAAGGCCGAATGGTGGGGGCTGTGGGAAAGTTCCCCACTGAAAATGGCCACGTCAGGGGTGTGGGAAAAATGGAAAAGTGGCCTTTAAGAGGAGTTCACAGAGTCTAAAGAGTTCCTGAACCGAAAGAGGAAGAAAATATCTGGACAAAGCGTGCTGGCCCTGAGAGGGCACTGCATACACAGGAGAGATCCTGCATGCCACCTTCAAGAAATCTACCTGAAAGAGGGGAGCGGCTTGCCCTCAGTCTGTTATTTATCCCTCCTATCCCTACTGGGGGCATGTTGAGGGTGTTGGCAGATCTTAGTGGCCAAGTACAGGCGCACATGTGATGTAATAGCACATATGCTGTAATGTTGTTGGCCAGCTAATTTTCGTTTAGTGTAGAGGAGACAACCCCCTTTATCCTTAATCTTTCTACCTTTCAGAGTTTGCTAAGGTGTTAAGAATGCCCCCAAACCCATTTTTTGGGTACTTGTTAGCTGTTAGTTTTCTTTTCATATTGCAAATATGTAGAAAGTTAAGGCAGGGTGGGGGTAAGCCAGATCATTTTTCTTTACCCCTTCCTACACGGAGCTTGGCATGAAGGCAAAAGCTATTGGGCAAAGCTGGGAGCATAAACAAATGCAAAATTTCCTTAGCCTTTGACTGAGTAAAACCCGTTTTTGAACAAGATTTCACAAGAGAGGCATTGTAAAATTTGAGAAGCACTGTTTTACATAATGAGAGTTACAGCGCAGTTTTGAAATTATTTAAAGACTTATTCCTCCTTTGATTTTTATTCCATCTGGGTTATCAACATTTTTTACAATAGGAAGGGGGAAAATGTTGAATTAGTCATTGTTTCTGTTACTTCAAATTGCTCTCCAGCTGCAGCTTTGATTCAGCTCCTGTTTAAATCTAGAGGACCAATGGACTCATTTGGCCTGTGGACATTTGGTCAAAGTCTTACCGCACTAAGTAACTAAGAAGAGTTGAGTACTTTAACAGCCTTTACTTAGGGGTTAGGCACATCAGTTTTATAGGCCGTGGCTTTATTCAGAGAGAAAAATGCTAAATGTAGCATTCCTAAGGAGAGTTGAATTTTGGGAGGCTGGGGATTTGATGTGTTAGAGCAGTGGTTCTCAACCTACCTATTGCTGATGCCGCGACCCTTTAATACAGTTTCTCATGTGGTGGAGACCTCCCAACCATAAAATTATTTTTGTTGCTACTTCATAACTATAATTTTGCTACTGTTATGAATCGGGCGACCCCTGTGAAAGGGTCATTCGACCCCCAAAGGGGTTGGGACCCACAGGTTGAGAACCGCTGTGTTAGATGGTTAGCAAGAAACCACGCTTGTGATTTTCCTACTAGTTTTATTTTATGGACATAATTTTTCTGTCAACAGTGATAGGCAGGGAAAGAAGCAAGGCTACCATTTTAGATTCTAGAACAGCTCTGCCATTTAGAAGTAGGTGTGGGGGAGGGAGCACTAGAACTGATTGTGATTACGCAACTCATTTTAAAAGTGACTTAACCATGAAAAAAGTTCTAAAATTGGGGTAATGATTGTGTAATCCTTCATGATATGATTGAGCTAGTGAATTATATGATACCGTATGTGGTTTATGTGCCAATAAAACTGGGGAAAAAAGATTTAAAGTTTCAGAAACCCAAAAGATCACTTCCACTCTGGTATAAAAGGTCATCATGAGTTGGAATCAGTGGATGGAAAAAAAACAGTAGGTGAGAGATGCAAATTTTAAAATTTCAGTAGATACAATAAAAAAATAAGGAAAAATAAATAGCTGAAATTGATTTTAATAAAAATGCTATTTTAACATGTAACTAATAAAAATATTGCCGAGATATATTCTTTTTTTAAACTTCTGATTCATAGTGAACCTAGTAGAACTTCCTCGGGTTTTTAGGCTCTCTTTCTACAAAGGAGTGCTGATCTTTTTATTAGCAACCTGACTAAGACCAGGCTCCTTTATTATAATCATGAAAAATCTGGTGTGGATTTCAGAAGTAGAGCATCTTAATTTGTATGCTAAATTTTAAATGGTTTATGCGAAATGTACTGTCCGACTAAAACAAGACATTGTGTTTAACAGACAAAATTATACTGCTTCAGTTTAAACATTTATACATTTGTGTAAAGGAAGAAACCTCCATATCTTCACATTGCTCACATTTCAAGTACTCAATGGCTACATGTGGCTAGCAGCACCATATTGATCAGCAAAGCTCTACGAAGAAAATGTTTGAATATTACTTAGGTTACGTTTCAAAAAAAAATTCCAACAAACGTACTGCCATCTAGTCAATGCCGACTCAACAGGGACCACCCCTCATGGTTGTCTGAGACTATAACTGTTTACTGGAGTAGAAAGCCCAGCCTTTCTCCTGTGGAGCTCCCACTGGTGGTGTTGAACAGCCAACCAAGCAGATCGAAGCCCAACACATAACCACCAGGGCTCCAGGTTAAGTTTGAAGACCTAGAAAAGTAAGAATGCCCATTTTCTCTAATGAGATGTTGAGAAATAAATAGCACAGCTGTGTTTTTGGTGTAAATGATGTTCAGACTTAGGAAATTGATCACCATATCCTGAATGGTCATTAAATGACTGCCACTGGAGGTTGCAGTCTGTTACTATAATAAATACTATTGTACAGGTAATACAAAAAGGAAGAAAGACAAGCTATTTAGGTTTTTAAGTGATGTTTACTCCTCCCACCCCAAGATGGAATTCTAGTGCATGTGTTTATAGGCATATTAAGTGGTTCACTTTACTTAATCTCACTCAATTAGATTCAACGACGACACAAATTACATGATTGGGACTAAGAGTTTGAGTGCGTCTCTATGTATTGCAGATTGCCCTATAGCACTGCATAGGCAGGTATTTCCCTTGTTTTAAAACTTTGAAATGTAAGTATGCTAAATGTACCGATGCAGTGCGTGATCACCCTTCAGGAGTCTGATTCACTAGATTTAAATTGAGCCCCAGGCACTTCTATATACTAAGGTGTTCCAATTATTCCTCATGCCCAAGAACTTTTGCGGGTCAACAGAATAATCAATCTATTCTGAAAGGTTGCAGGTTCTTCAATATAGCATAGCCTACTGCAGTTGCCAATCATTTGGTTTTTCCCAGTCACAGGTTTTTCAGGTAGTTGCTTTTTATCTGCAAATGGTTTTTGCAGGCGGTTAAGCTTCCATCTTCAAAGATCAGACCTGTCACTTGCTAGTCTTCCGGGCTAGCATCACCTTCCCCAATCCTGAGCCACCCGAAGTTGCCGCGGTGGAGCGATGCCATGTGACTGGCAAGCCGGGGCCCAGCCGATCGGCCATTTTTGAGACGGGCACCCAACTTCACCCCTCGTAAACTGGGTCCGGGGAACCGGTGCTACCAGGACTCAAGATGGCCACGGCGCCTGCTAGCCCGCCCGCTAGTCCACGTTGGCTCGCCGGCAGGAGCAGCGTGGCGGGCGGACAGCTCGCGGTTACCCGCGGCGCCCGGGAGGATCTGGGCTGTGCGCCAGGCGGAGGGCCGCCCCCTCGCCAACCGAAGCCAATCAGCGTGGCAGGCCGCCCGCCGTGCCCGCCCCTGACCGCCTCCTCGCCAGGCGCAGCCAATCAGCGCCGCAGGCCGCCCCGCCGGGCCCGCCCCTGCGGGGTGTGTAAGGACGCGCTGCCCGTCGCGGCGTGCAGGAGCAGAGGAGCAGTTGCCTTGGTACCTGCTGCTGCCGGTGAAGGCGCGGAGCATCGCACACGGGCGCTGTTGCGTGAGGCAGGAAAGCGAAATCATGACGTCCGTCAGGTAAAGGGAGGGCGGCAGCCTGAACCACTGTACTTCCTTGCTGAGCGATAGTCTCCTCATTGCATGAGATCTGTTGCCCTTTTTTTCCTGGGTGGTCTGCAGCCCTCCTTGCCCTTGGCCCCTGCCATGCTGGTGGTGCTCTGTGCACTTTCAATTCGGTCATTTCGGATTTCCTCCGAAGTTTTTTGGGTCTGTGGCACATCCCCGCGCCTCGGAGGTTCTCGTCCCCCAGATTCCAGGGTCTGACGCTTTCTTGTGTGTAGTGGATTTTTCGTGAACAATTTTGCCTCTCAACCTCGGGGTAGCTCAGGGCCTGCGGCACCATGTGTGTGCATGCCTGCATGACATGCTTTCCGAGAGAACTTCATCTGTGGCTAATCAGACCTCCAAAGTTGCCCCTTGTCTGACGCAGGTAGGTTGCTCCCAAGTTGAGAAATTCTGTGTCCTTAAAATGTTTACTTATGAAGAAAAATGTTTATTTATGATTGGAATTTGTACTCTGAGAAGGCACTGTTTTTTCCCCGAGAATCACAAGTGACATAAGTGTTGTGAAATACTAGGATTATAATGAAAATAATAAAGCAGAAAGCTTTCCCCAATTTTCTCTTGCAGAGTTTTGAAGGGTTTTTGTTCATGGTTACAATATAATGGGCTTGTCTACTTTCTCTGTGTAGCCTCAACTGAATGTTTAACTTATGCTAATTCAGCTATTTTTTTTCCATTTTTATTGGCACCTAATCCACGTATCATACTATTCAATTGTACAATCAGTACTACAATCAATTTTAGAACATTTTCCCCACCCACCATGGTTAAATCACCTTTAAAATGAGTTGTGTAATCACTGTCAGTTGTAGTTCTCCCTCCCCACTCTTGCCTTCATTGTTCACTCCTGAAGTCCCCTCACCCTCCCTGTCTTCCACCCCCATCCCTGAATTTCCTGTAAACCCTTGCATCAGTTATTATCTCTTTACATCTACTCCTGTGTGTCACAAACTGGGAAACCCCATAGATACAATGAAAACAAAATTGAAATAAAGCGGAAAAGATAAAATAATAATATAAAGATAAAAATACAAATAATGAATAAGAAAGAAAAGACCACCCTCAATATTAAAAAACCAGGGAAGAAATTTTTTGTCACGAACCACACAAGAAATACTTGCACGTAGAACAAATTGAGATTGGGTCAGTAATGGAGGTCAGCTGACCAAGTAGCAAGTTTGATCCATCATAATCAAGATTACAATGATATCTGATAGGCTGTTTGAGACCCTTGCCTGTGGCTAGTGGGGGTCTGCCAGCAGCTTAATCTAATTAGTTACTCTGCAAATGGGTTTGGGGCTTCCACGGTCCTCCATACCCTTCTACCAATTGGGCATTCATAATTTTAGCTCTGATACTTTTCCCTTTCTCATATTTGAATTTTGTTTTTGTCTAATTCAGGTGTTTTTAAAAAGAGATAAATTGCCCTTATTTGCCCTTACCTGCTACTCTAAAAGTATTGTTCCATTGTGCCCCAGCACAAATGTGAGAAGACACAAAGTAGGTTTTGGTCTATGACTGGTAATTTAAGGGTTTGGTTTTTTGACTGCACAATATTTAAGAGATGACGTTAGGCTGTGGCCCTCAGTTAAGATTAGGTAAACTGTAACACCCTGCTAAACTCTGATATAATTTCACTTTCTTAAATTGCATAACTCCATACTAACATAGAGTAGCTACTTATCTCATTGTACAGAAGGGAAAATTCAGATTACGAAACATAGAGAACCATTGGGACAGATTATCATAGTAAATGATTGGGCATATACATTAAGCTAACAGTATTTCAGCATGAATTAGTATAGTACTTAATATCAAGAATTAAGCTCCTCTTTCTGCTTTTTCCCATCCCTGTCTGTCATCATGCTGCTAATTAGAAGTGTAAGTCAAATGTTTTCCATGTTAATCAGCTATATGTGTTCTCAAAATTCCCTGTCTTTGCTGGCTACTACTGAGTGGAGAAACACCCAAGTCTAAAGCTTTCACTATATAGCAAGTGACGGATGTGCCTTTTCTCTATTAATTTTGCTCTTCCCAGCTCCACATTGGGTTGAATGGTTGTTCTTTTTCAAAAAAGTGAGTTAAAGGTTGGCACCCGCCCTAACTGACATGTTATGAAAGGATGTTAGTTTAAAATCAGTTGCTATCGACATAAGTGTCAAGGGATTATTCTCTAAAATTTAGAGAAAACATCACCTCAACAACAAAAAGACAATCCAATTTAAAAACACATAGGACATGAACAGACACTTCACTGAAGAACATATGCAGGTGGCCAACAAACATACGAAGAAATACCTGCAATCATCAGCCATTCCCAAAGTCAAACCAATAGAGTCAGTTCTGAGTCACAGTGACCCTGTTAGAGTTTCCAAGTCTGTACATTTTTGCTGCTGTACATTGCCTCGTCTTTTAGCCCCCAAGCAGGTGGGTTTGAACCATTATAGCTAGTGTGTTTGAACCACCGACTTTGTGGATAGCAGCACCACCAGGACTCCTTTTATTAGATAACAAGTCAAAGCAACAATGAGCTAGCTCTCTCACTTTGGCAATAATAGCAAAGTTCAGTAAAAGAACATAAATCTGGTGAGGATGCAGACCAGTGGTGAGAACATCTGGTCTGTGGAATCATCATTACCAGCTAACATCACATACCTCATCACAGAGAAGCAGTTCTACATGTTGTCACATTAGGGATAAGTTAACTAAATGTTTGACCAATATGCCCCTTGGCAGAATAAAAGCTTACCCCTCATGTAAAGAGAGACCGGAACCCTAATACCCTGCTGGTAGGACCATAAAATGGTAAGACCACTGTGGAACACAGTATGGTGCTTACTTACCATTTGGAGATAGAAATATGATCCAGCAATTCCACTACTAAGTATGTATTTTAGAGAAATAAGAGCCATGGCATGAATAGATCTATGTATATCCATATTCATTGCAACATTCACAGTACAAAAAACGGAAACTACCAAAGTGCCTGTTACACAATTTAATGCCAACTTGATAAAAGAATGAAGGGGTGTAGTCTAGCCTGTCAATCAGGTCACAACCTGATTGATTTCTCTTTATGAGCATGATCTTCTCATGAGGTTATGGGAACTTCTTCCCTGGAGGCGGGACACACTCTCTGCTTCACCTTCCTGGTGACAAGCCACATGGAGCCACACTGATGGCAATCAAAGCCTTGAAGGTGCGTCCACTGCCATTGGATCTACAGGACTTTACACCCACTGGCTTGTGATCGTCCTGCATTTGACATTATTGCATGTGCTGTGTGAGACTCAAGAGGAATTCATGGGCTAATATGGAACTATGGACTTTATCTGGCCTGGGATGGAATGTTTTATTGATGCATAATTACTTCTTGATATAAAGTTCTCTCTCACACATATATGAGTGTCAATGATTTTGTTTCTCCAGTCAACCTGATATAACACAGTGCCTATCAGTAATGAATGGATAAAAAAACAACGGTACATAAACAAAATAGAATACTACAAAATGCTAAAGAAGTGACAAATCTGTAAAACATCTGCTGGTTGAACTCGGAGGACATTATGTTGAGTGAAATAAGAATCATGAAAGGACAAAATTGAGTGCTGTATGTGACCACTGTTATTAGAAATCAAACAGAAGTTAACACTGCGGAACATTCTTTGATGGTTATTAGGCATAAGAGGAAAAGGGAGAGCAAATTACTAACTAGAGAGTAGGCGCACATTAATGTGGATGAAGGTACAGGCAATATATTAGTGGGGAGGTCAGTGCAACATGACCAAGGTAAATGGAAAACACTGGGAAGTGCACCAGAGCAAAAGACAACAAAGGTAAATACTGTCGCATACACAATCCTGCAATAATAGTAATAACAAACAATATGGGAGGGCTTCAACAAGTTTATAGAGGAATTTCACTGTCATTTAATTCTATTTTCCCTCGACCTTGATGAAGTCCCTAGTGTCTATGGGCAGACATGCAAGTGGAGCAGATGTGGGAAGGTGATTGGAAGCACATATAGGAATATTTATAGGTTTGCAAGATTCTTCTACATATGGGATTGTGTTTGATGTAAATATATCCAAAGATATAGTAGAGCAAACGGGATAATGTTTTTAAGACTTCTTCACTCGTTGCCATCGAGTCGATTCTGCCCCTGTGGGTTTCCAAGACTATACATTTTAAAAAATCGATATCAAAGTTTATTAGTGGTTAGTAGGATCAGTATACAGAAAGTGGGGGGTGGAGGATAGCGGGGATGGAAAAACTGCATGGATCATGGAATGGTACGCTTGCAAACATTCTTATAATTGCTGTCAATAAGACTTAAACTGTAAATAATTGAACAGGCAAAAGTTGTGGGATAAATATACAAGGGGGCTTCAAAAAGTTTGTGGGAAACTTCCATTAGTTTTAAATTTATTTGCAGTCACCACTGGGGCTATTTCTTGTGGACTTATTTGCTGGCTAGCTCCTCCACCTGCATGGCCAGGTGCAGGGCCTTCCTGAAACCTTGGAGGGCTGAGAGGTACTTGGTAAAGTTGGCGAGGGTGGATTCTGCTTTGTTCTCAATGGTCTCCAGGTCATAGCCAAGCTGCGTGGTCATCGTGGGAGAGCTTAAGTCAGGTTGGCCCTTGCTTTGAGCTGAAGAGGTACAAGGAGTTTCAGGCAGAAGACACATCTGTGGTATATTCAAGTGTCACAGAGTCTTGGCTTGAAGATCTCACATGATATTTGTTAAACTTGGCGTGCATGACGAGAAAGCTGGCTCTTCGATCACTTTGGCACTTGGCATGGTTTCCTTGCAACCAGGAATTTGCAGCTCCTCCTAGACGGCCATGACCTCAACAGCCAGGTCTGCGCACAGCGTGGGCAGAGAGGGCAGGCCGAGACTAATTCTTTATGGGAGTAGAGAGCCTCATTTTCTTCTGATCAAAACTTCTTAGCCATAGCCAAATACCTTGAGGAAGTGAGTCACTGGGCTTGGGTACTTATATAATCTGTGTATGTATTTATCGGCATAACATAGTCCACAAAGACAATGTTCTATATCCTACTTTGGTAAGTAGTAACTCAGGTTTCAAAAGCTTTGTAGTGACCATGTAAGATGCAATTACTGGTCTCTCCTCATCCAGAACAAAGAAGAGTGAATAAAATAAAATAAAAAAACAACTCAAGGAAACAATTATTCTAGAAGACTGGACCACGCAAACCACAGCCTCTGCTAATCTGAAACGAGAACTTGATGGACCCAGGTTACTACTATAGACTTCTCTGATCGGGATCACTGTAGAAGGTCTTGAACCGAGAGGGAGAAAAAGAACGTGGAACAAAATTCTAATCATTAAAAACACCAGAGACCAGTGGGGTCTCCAAGGCTATAGAAGCCCTTCAAGGCTCAAAATGAACTCCTCTCCAGATAACAACTTCTACTGTACCAGTTTCAGGCTTACAAAGTGAAAAGTAGTATCAAGGAGTAACGTACTACTTAGAATAGTCAACCGCATAAGACCAAGTGGGTAGTAGCTTTAGCCCAAAAAGCAAAGCTCAGAAGGCAGGAAGGCTTAAGAAATAAGTACAGATAGAAATGGGGAACCCAAGGAGGAAAGGGGAAGTGTGCAGTTCATTTGAGGCAATTACAGCCAGTGTCAAAATGTGTCTAATTGTTGCATGGAAAACTAACTCACTAAACTTTCACCCAAACCACAATAGAAAGTAAAAAAAACCCAAACAAACTAACATTGTGTTGAGAGACTCATTTAACCCTCCCAATGCCTGTCAGAATAATAACTGTTTCATAAGGATTTCAATGACTGATTTTAGAAATATGAGCACTTAAAAATAGTATGTAGAGAGCTTCTGTTATCTTTTCATTCCATTTTCAAATGCATTTATGTCATTCAGATGTAGGTTCCACAGCCATGATGTTAGACATAGTCTCATTTGCAAATTAAGAGTAACTCATAAGGTAGGCATTCTCAAAAAACTCGCTGAAACGGAGTTGTTTTCAACTGAGTGGTAATATAGGACAGAGAACTGTCCCTTTGGTTTTCTGAGACTGTAAATCTTTACTGAACTAGAAAGCCTCATCTTTTTCCTGCAGAGCATCTAGTGATTTATAGTTGGGTTAGTAGCCCAACAAGTAACCCATTGTGCCACCAGGGCTCTTTTGATAGCCATTGTTGACCCTTTCGTGTGGGTAAGGTCAGTGATCATGGTAAAAAATTGTCAAACTATGACTTCATAGCCAGTGCCCCTGTTTTTTACACTTACTTTAAATAATTGCTGCTAAATATAGTGATAGGTGATTGTGTGCTGATGAGTGTAAAATTACATCCTCTAAAACAAATTGTCCTTGAGAAACAATTTTTATCCTTGCCTTTATTATATATACAAAATCTACATTGTATGTATATCTATTGTATTTCAACTGTTTATGGTTTGGGAAACCATAGAACACTTTGAGAACTTGATGCTTTTTAGTTGGTCCAGTAGGAAAATTAACTAGTAATCACCATCAAGTCGATTTTGACTCATAGCAACCCTGCTGGACAGGGTGGAACTACCCTTGTGGGGTAACTACAGAAGTGGAAAACCATGTCTTTCTTCCGCAGATTGGCTGGTGGTTTCAAACTGCTGACCTTGAGGTTAGCAGTCCAATGAATAACCACTGTGCTATCAGGATTCCTCAGGAAAATTAAAACCTGGATTAAATTCAGGAGATAGTAGACATTTTAGAGATATCAGAGATAATCCTGCTTTTTCGTATTCCATAATTAATTTTGAGGCCCAAGGTGAAGCTTTGTGCCATTCCTAGTTAGACAGTTGTAAGAGCTCAAGATAGAACTATGGTTTTCTGATTCCAACTTTATGTACTTTCCAGAACAACATTATTTCAAGAATTGGTTTCTGAATATTGCCTTCTGTTTTTAGCATCAGTGTCCAGTCTAGGTTTGGCATTGCTTACAGCTTGGGTTTGTGCCAGTGAAGGACTGGTAAGGGGAATTAGGGAGACGGAGAGTGTTTGCTGCTCTCTTCTGTGACCTGCTTAGACAGGAGTTAGGTTTGGTCTAAGACTATTCTGGGATCCTGAACATGACTGTGCCCTCATAATTACTCAGAAACTGCGTCTGTGTGTTGGGCGGACCTTGGAAAATTCATGTGGTCTGTGGGTGGAGTCCTGGGGTATTTTTCTAAGACCCAGGACTTTTTGAGGGTGCATTCAATAGGATGGTATATCATTCAGATGGAGAATGTTCATATGGCTAAGATTAAACTGCTTTCTTTGTTAGATAGTTTTTTATTTTTTAGAACCTTGAGACAGAATGTTTGCACTCATTTCAGAACCTGAGTCTTTCATATGAATGGTAAATTTCAGATTGCTGTACTTATTACTGCATCATCCTTTTCAAAACATTTTCTTTCTACTTGAGCCCATGGTATCAGCTCCTCATTTTCCCCTTCCCCTCTCACGCTCATGAATCCTTGATAAATTATAAATTATTATTATTTTCATTTCTTACACCGACCGCTGTCTCCCTTCACCCATGTTTCTGTTGTTTGTCACCCTGGGTGGCGTTGGAGGTGGGGGTTTATACATCGATCATTGCAATTGATTCTCTCTTTCTCCCCTCACCAACCCCCTACCCTTATGGTATCACTACTCCCATTATTGTTCCTGAAGCCTTTCTTGATTTTAAACCATGCAGTATTCCCTTATTTTGTTCACACAACTGCCTCTTGATCCATGTACAAGTTCAAATGAACATAATGAAGTGCTCTGGAATTCCCATTCTTCTCAAGGCTATCCGTACTTTTTTATGATCCACATAGTCAAATGTCTGGGCATAATTGATAAATGACAAGTAAACATCTTTTTGGGAAGTTAATATAGAGCATGAAAACAGCATGGGAAATTACAGAGAGGCAAATCTTACTGAATAATTTAGAACAATGCCTTCTATCGAGGCTGTTTTAACCATGGCCACCAGTGTTTTTCTAGCAGTCAGTCCGTCGGGGTCCTTCAAAGATAGAGATGTGCTTTCTCTTTGGATTTGAGCCATTGCTATTTTGCAATAATTTGTGGGAAAGAGACTTCATCACACTCAAAACTACTTACAACTATGCTGATCTGTTTTTAACAGTTATTAAATACCCCCTGTAGTTGTTCTTTAGTTCCACTGGAGAATTCTGAAAACTTTTGATTGAAAAGTTTATCAATGATGATACTGATTGTGAAGGCTTCCCTATAGTCGTCCTCATTTTGTCAAAGTGAGGTCACTTGCAGGACTTATCCGGAATTCCTCTGTGCTCCCTAATAACTTTCAGTAACTGGACATCTTACTACAGTGTCAGTTTTGAACATATTTATCAAGTACAGAACTTTGTTGTAATAGACTTTCCTTCTTTATAAAATAATATGTAACTTTATTAGTTTCGATCATTAGTTGTTTCTATCCAATTTAAATATCCTCCTTTCTAAATGATGTTGTGCTACTGTTGAAAATATGTTCTACCTCTAATAATCAGATGAAAGATATAATAAACCTAGCAAGTTTATTCTCAAGACAACACGAAGATACCTATTTTTATGTTATTTGTCTACATGTTCTACATCAACTTTCAAAAGTTTTTCTAACTTGTGCTTGCATTTTGTCTTTTTTTTTTTTTTAGTGAAAATGTTCTCTTTGGAATGGGAAATCCTCTTCTTGACATTTCTGCTGTGGTAGACAAGGATTTCCTTGATAGGTAAGTATTAGATTTCATGTGTCCTATATGAAATCTATAGCTGAAGAAACTAGTGAAAATTCTGTCTTTGGATTTATTTTCTAATAATGAATTGGAAGAAAACTCAGGAAATTTAAAACTTAGTACTAAGAAGTATATATCATTATTTTTTAATTGTCAGCAATTTCCCTTGTGAATACATGTTCATTAATAATACTATTTTCATGTAAAATGCATTTTGTATTCTTAGAAAGATGTGTATATAATTTACATACTGATTTAAAAGATGTGTATATAATTTGCATAATGATTTAGTGCTTAAAATTTAAAGGACTGTTTATTAACTACATCTATAGTATAAAAGTCCTATAATATAAATGGGGAATGAAATATAGCAGATTAGAGGACAAGGTTCAGAAGATTATAGGACATAATTGAAAATCTAAGAATCTCTTCTCTTTCCTCTTTAGTAGTAGGTTTAGATGTTGTTAACTTAGTTGGAAAATCAGTTTTTTTACCCAGCTGTTGACTCCATTTGGTACATGGAGATAACTAAGTAGTCAAAATGGGTTAATGATTAGAAAGCAATCTGCTGTTCCCCTAAAATACAGTCCAAGCTCTGTCCCGTAGGGGCAACCACTTTTTAAATCATAAATTTAAAATTTGCATAATAAAGATTCTACATTTTAACCATCTTAAAGAATACAGCTGAGTGACTTCCAGTACATTGAACCATTACTATTAACTCCAGAATATTTTTGTCACCCTCCGCCATTCAGAAAAAACTCCTATGCCTATTAGTCAGTCAGTCCTCATTTTCTCACTAGCTCTTCTGTGAGCCACTAACCTGTTTTCTCTCTCTTGATTTGCAATAAATTATTTAACATAGATCTTCTAGCTACAGTCTATAACATCTCTCAAATGGCTTTTTTTCCAGTAGGTCTGGTTAAAAGAAGGTAGGGGATGCTGGTTGTGCATAATTGTTAATTGGGTTAATTGTGGTTGTAACTATCTGCAGCTGTCATGTGAGATTGGTCGATTTTGCCATCCCGCTGAGTATAAAATTAGCCATTTCAGAAAGAGGAAGGAGCAGCTCAGGACATCAAGGAAGAAAAGCTTGGGGTGGAGCATGTCATTGGATTGGATCTCAAGATTCCTTTGTGCTGAGCCTCCTTGATCCAGGGCAGAAAGCTATGGTGACAGAGAATTGGCAGAAGCAGAACCAAGAGACAAAATGATGGGCTTCTTGGGCCATGGAGAGAGAAAATGGAATGTATCTAACTGGAGGCTCACTGTGGAGTGGGGTGCATCTGGGAACTTAACTGAGGTTCTTAGCTTTGCTGTTCCATGAAACTGGAATTTAGTGCCTTTGGGTCGAGGCTGATAGCAGACTAGCATGAGCTTTGGCCAATTATCAGTTCTTTTTTTAACAAAGAATTTTATTGGGGGCTTTTATAGCTCTTATAACAGTCCATACATCAATTGTACCAAGCACATTTGTACAAATGTTGCCATCATTGTTTCCAAAACATTTTTTACTGAGCCCTTGGTATAAGCTCCTCTTTTTACCCTTCCCTCCTTCATCCTCACACCCTCGTGAATCCTTGATCAATTATATATTGTTATCATTATTTTGTATCTTACACTGTCCCTTCACCCACATTTCTGTTACTGTCCCCTTTTGGAGCAGGGGGCTATATGTTCAATCTTGTGACAGGTTCCCCCTCTCCCTTTTCCCCTTCCCCACTTTTCCCATCCCTATCAGCAGTTCTATAGGGGCTTTGAAACATTCCCACCAAGAGGTTGAGGATCCAAGAGAGACCTGGAAGTGTCTATTCTGAGTTGAAAAACTGAGCATTTCTGACCCTGAATTTCCCTAATAAAGGCCATGGTCATGAGGTTGGTCTCATTATTGAACCTAGTTTAGAGAGTGCGGCAGGAGGGACAGTTGGTGTCGGAAAGTTGAAGGGTGGAGGCCTGTCTGACCATTAACCAGCACTATAAAAAGGTTTATCCTCAGGCAGAGTATGCTTTGAACGTCAATTACGTAGGATTTAGCTTTTTGCTGATGTGGAGCTTGATTCTTCTCCTTTGTAAAGTCAGAGATTTAATGCTCCTTCCTTGCCATTCTTAAAATGCCAAATACTGAGAATACAAAGTTAAATAAGGCAAGTTACTTGTAAGCCTTTAAATGGTTAGTACTCTAATTGAGGAGACAATGGGCAGAAAAAAGCATTACAGTTATTTCATGGAGTCCCTCTAATTGAGCTAAGTGGATCGAGAAGGTGGCTTTTTGAGAAAAAAACCAGGTGGTCAGGAGATTTGCTGATGCCAGAAGAGGATCCTGAACAGTTGTATTAGTTTGTTTCCCAGCACCCTGGGTGGAGGTTTAATGAACATGTCACGAGCCACCATGTGTGCTATCTCTCACTGCACCTGCTTCACCTGGAATTATGAAATTCAATGTGAATCATGATTCTGAAATAATGCTCTTTCTAGAGAAAGGGTATGAAGTAAAGGGAGACAGGGAGACAAAACAGTTAGTGGACAAAAAAGGGATATTTGGGGCCAGAAAGTAAGAGGAAATAAGGAGCTTAGCAGGAGAACTGTTCTAAAGGAGAAAAGACCCCAAATCTAAAAACTATATGTACCATATGTACTCGAGTATAAGCCAACCCAACTATCAGCTGAGGGACCTAATTTTACCACAAAAACTACCTTAAAAATGTGCTGAAAAACCTGGCTTATACACAAGTATATATGGTGTGTGTAATATTTTATAGACTCCATTAAGTCTTAAACGGGACTAAGACCAGACGGAGGAAAGACAAATAATTTGGATGAGGGAGACCCTCAATATGAGGCCATGATGGTGTCCAGAGGACTCACAGCCGCATTGCTAATTATGGAATATAAAAATCAAAACTAGTCACAAAAGTACAAGTGGCAGTTCAGTTCATCACTGTTGCAGGCGGGACTACGAAAGGGAAAATACCATGATTGGGACACATGTATGCTATTGCAGTTTGGAAGAATTTTCAGGATTGTTCTTGGGCCCTACAACCAATGGAGTAGATATGTGGCTCTGGTACCCCAACTTTTTTGTTCCCACATTATTGGGAGCTCTTAAAATACTATAACAATCTATAGATTAGTATGATTGTACTATTGTTGTCACCATCATTTTCAAAACATTTTCTTTCTTGCACTCTTTGTTGTCAGCTCTCCTTTATCCCTGCCCTCCCCAACCCTACCCCCAGGAACCCTTGTAATTATATTAAATATTATTGTTATTATCTTTTTTTGTGTGTGTGCTGTATCTTACACCATCCAGTGTGTTGGTTCACCTACCCCAACTTTCTATTAAGGGCGCCCCTAAACAAATCTTTTACATTGTGACTGCTCCTCCTTCGTTGACATTCTGAAAAAACTCAAAGGATAAGTTCATGCTAAGACTAAACGGGGTAGATCCCACTGTAAACTGTAGTCTTCTGCAAACCGAGTGATTAGAGTTTCAGCTTTAATATGGAACTAAGGCATAGTGGGTTTGTTGGATATAGTGGTCAAAAATAGTAGATGCAACAGAGTTGTCTAGTGTATTAAGGCCTTTAAAGGTCTACTGGATTCAGCAATTATTTGGGTGAGTTCAGGAGCCTTGGTGAGGTAGTGGTTATGAGTTCAGCTACTTTCCGCAAAGTTAGCCATTCCACATCACCAACTCCTCCGCAGGAGAAAAACGGTATTCTGTGAAAGTAAAGTTCCAGTCTCAGAAACTCAGGGGCAGTTCTATCTACCCTGTCCTACAGGGCCCCTGTGAGTCAGCATGGATTTGATAGCAGTGAGTTTGGTTTTTGATGATGTCATTTCGATGAATAGTGGTGAAGTGATGAACAGAACCCCGATTAAAATGTACTTGTGAATAAATGGAGGTGTGATGTAAGATGGGCAGGTTTAGCGATACCTTCTGAATACCAAAGGTTTTGAATTGCTGCTAATGAAAATGTGTGACTAGTTTCAGCATGGAAGTGTGAGGAACTCTGCCGACCTACTTTCACCAGTGAAAGAAAAGTCAAGAGTTTTGTATTTGAACCAAAGCCAGCAATTCCTCCCCCTTTCCCAGTTCAGGGAGGGTAAGACTTGTCCTGGGGTGGAAATGATCACAAAGTTATAATAGTGAGACAAATAAGATTGTACTCAGCATAGAATAGTACAGATAAAAGATAAATGGGAAAAAGACTAACGAAGCTATGTCTGACTGAGAGTCCAAAGAGCAGTACAAGCTGAACAGCTGGAGAGAAAGACGAGGTTTCTGCTCCCTAAAGACAGCCTTAGTGTTGCTGTCATTGTCATTTGGAATGGCGTCCATGGCAGTGAGGTTTTTTCCCAAAACCACTTTATTGGGAGCTAATACAGATATCATATCATATTCCATAGGCCACTCACATCATGTAGTATTACAGAATTGTTACCACAATTAGTTTAAAAACATTCTCTTCTTGAACCCCGTGATATCAAGGAGTTCCCCTTCCTCCCCAGTGTGCCCCCCAGGAACCCCTGTTCTATTTGCTTCCTCTGTAGGCTCATCAATCTTGGGTTTCATATGCCAAAAGAACATTAAAACATATAACCAGAATTCCAGAGGGTTACCCCCAGTGATAAAATACATCTGAGATAAACCCCAATATGACAAAGCCAAAACACAGAAAATGTTGAAAGCCAGAGAGGCAAGATTAGCTGACAAGGTTTTAGCTTCAGGCTATGTTTGTCATTTTGATCTCCTAGAGTCATCTCTCCAGCGCACTCTGTTTGGTATCTGTTTCTTCCATCCCTCTGATCTGGATAGAAGGAGATCACTACAGGCTTCTTTCCTGTGTGGATCTCACAAATGTGTTTTGGGCTCCCAGTGTCATCCATAGCCTTCTGCAAATCAGAGTCGTACAATGTAGGCTCTGATACTATTCCCTCCTTTGGCTTTGGATTACCATATATACTCGTGTATAAGCTGAAATTTTCAGCCCATT